CTTGCAGGCTCTCAGCCCCCTTAGCAAGGGTTTGCTCCTGCTTTTCATTACTATACCAGACATATTTGATCTAATGGCTTCTACAGGTGGCGTGGGGTACAAGAGGGTCCGGCCACGGTTGTCAGCTGTCATCCAGAGTCAGAGTTAATCCAGGAAAACAGTAAAAATTAGTAATGTATATTGCATTCCTCCAATCCATACGCTTTCCATTAGGTGATCTTCCATCTTCTTAGGCAGAGAAAGAAAACCCTGCCGATGGCAGTCAGCGTTTCTGACTCTGAAAGGCAAGGATTGGTCGTGCCTGGAAATCCGATCTCGGCTCTCACATTCCTGGACACACTGTCTATGCAGGGAATAGCCTCCCACCTTTAAATCCAGGCAGCAGATGCTGGCCATGTGCACAGCCTTTGCCTGTAAGCCCAGGAGCTTCTGTGGCAGCAGACATGCCCGGCCTGGGGCCGCGCTGGGGCGATGCAGCCCGGCATGCCCTTGTGCCGGGGTCCCATGTACTGGCCTGATTCTCCCTGTGTCCGGAGGCCTCTCAAGGCGAATGGCCTTCTCCAATGTCACACCACAACGTCACGCAGGTACAACAGCCAGGTCAGCACAGTAATGAGGCACAGTTAATTCTTGCGAGAGATCGCATTTTAACTTTTTTTATTAATAATCTGGTGCAGAAATTCCTCTGGATCCTCACTGTCAAGGGGGGTTACAGTATTCTTAAACCAATAAAAAGAAAGTGAAACATTCAGCTTGCTTAAATAAGCCCTATCTTCAATCACCCTTACACTTCAGTGGCTCAAGAACAACAGTTTGGTAATAAATGTTATACAGCGCAAACTCCGTCGGTAATTATGTGCAGGTGAAGAAGGGGAAAAGAAAGGACTTATATTAATTTCTAGGTGTGACTGCACATGCTAAGCATGGCCTGGGCCCTTTGAGGTGTCACGAGCAGGCTGGGGCTGCGCTGTGTGAGATGGAGCTCTGTGTGTGGAGCTGCAAAAAGGAAGGGGGTCCCCCCCTCTCCAGCTCCTGCTCCAGACAAAAAAAAGGTCCAGAAAGCTCTGCTTTTGGTGTTGTTGGGTCACCAGCTTGCAGGGCTAACTCTAATTTCTTTTTTTTCCTACTTTTGCAGAGAATGTGATCAACGGGCAGGACTACGAGGTGATGATGCAGATCGACTGCGAAGTGATGGACACCAGGATCCTCCACATCAAAAGTTCATCTGTCCCTCCGTACCTCCGAGAGCAGCGCAGAAATCACACTGACACCTTCTACAGCGCGTCTCCCTCTGTCTCGGAGACACCCCATACCCTGAGGGCTATTGTCAAATCCCTGCAGTAGCTCCTGAGGTGTAGCAGCACGGCCTGTGCGCCCGGCATGCAGCAGGTCCTGCTGCCAGACGGAGCCCCTTCGCTAGCAGGTCCCTGGGACTTCTGGCACATCGGCACAGCAAGGACAGACCCTGCTTAGTCCATTCCTGTGCCTGACCCTACCCAATGGCCGCATCCTGCCCAGGGAATATACAGCTCAGCTGGCCGCTTGCCAGGGACGGACCTGGGGGGACCCAGGCAGCCTGCGATGCCTGGTGCCGAAGGTGCGGGTGAGGCACGCTGCTGCAGTTCTGGTGTCAGCATCAGCAGCTGGTGCCTGGGGCTGGTGCAGGAGGGGACACGGGACGTCCTTGCTACTTATGCACTGTCCAAAATTGTGGGTTGGTTTGTTTTTGTTTTTTTGGTTGTTGTTGTTTTTTACTTTTTTTTCCTGTTAAACTGCCTCCTGAGGTGGCGTGCTGAGCACTGGGGTCCTGCCCAGAGACACAGCTGCAGAGGCCCATGCTCGAGATCAGGCTTCCATCCCTGCAGTGCAATCAGGGCAGCAGGAGGAAGCCGTGTCCGGCTCCCAGCTGCGGGTGCAGGCAGAGCCGCAGCCGCACAGCCCACACCGAGCCTGCCACCCTAGCCCTGGCCCTGCGCCCTAGGAGCAAGAGCATCCCCCCTCTTTCCAGAGTGGCTGTGCTGGCCTTGGCCAGACAGCCCCACTCCTCGTCAACCCCACACGCCTGCCCAAATCCCTGCCTGTGTAGCCTCCCTTGCCGGGAAGCCCTGGGTTGCTGCCCAGGGTTGCAGCGGTGCCATGGGGCAGCGCAGCCCCAGCCACCCAGCCGGGTGGTGGGAACCAGCACTTACAGCCAAAGCACTACAAGCAGAACAACCCGCACGGCTACAGTGGTACGGGGCCTGAGCTGCCCTCCGAGGCAGTGTACACACACACACACACACACGCATGCACACACACCACACATCCCCCCCAACCTGTGTGCACTCTCCCGCACACTGCTGCTGTCCTCCTCAGCCCACGCGGCCGCGTGGCAAAAGGCTGGGGCTTGGCCCAAGGGTGGTGATTTGGTGCAGCACATGCATTTCCAAAGATTGTACTACTGTTCTTTTTGTTTTGTGGGGTTTTTTTTCCCCTCTGTTTTTTGTTTGGTTGTTTGTTGGGGGTTTTTTTTGCGGGGGGGGTTGTGATATTTAATGCTTTTCACTGCTAACAGCCTACGGAGCGGCGCTGGCCGTGCCGGGGTGGAAGAGCTGCTTCAGTTCAGTGGGACACAGCCACAGCACCTTCCTCCTGAAACACAGACCCACACAGAGACACGCACACACACTCACCCCCACAACCCCCTTCTCTGCCTTGCCAGCACTGACAGCCATCCGTCACGCAGCAGGGGAGCGTGCCATTTGCCCCAAAGCACTGAGCTACGAGACACGGCTCTTGCTGCAGTCGACATTACGAAGCCCGCTGCAGAGCTCTGTTAACTGGTCCCAAGTTTGTCAGCCAAGCCCTGGGCCAGAGGTGGGCCGAGGGGCTCCAGCGCGTGGTGCACTGCGGTGCTCAGCTGGGATGAGACACCAGCAGAGCATCGGCCTTTCGTAATGACTTCAGCATGTTACATTATTTTTTTTTCCCTTTGCAGTTAGCACAGAAGATGGTGGGCTTCAGTTTGCCAGCCATCTGCCTTTCCTTCATTGTCTGAACCGCTGACCGACTGATGTGGGTTTTTTATTATCATTATTATTATTATTATTATTTTTGTGTGTGGCCGTTAGGAAATAAAGGTTGATCCTGCAGCAAGACAAACAGCTTGGGGGGAGGCGAGGAGGAGGGTGAGGAGCAATACACCCCTGTAAAGTATGTGCCTTGCAACACTATGGAAAAGCTTTGCCCTTTGCCACGTAGTCAGCGCGAGCTGCACAGGCCCCCCGTCCCCTCGGCGCTCACGCTGCTGGGAAGCAGCCGGGCTCGGCAAGGGGTTTGGCTGCGCTCCTTGCACCAGTTCGTTTTCCTGGCCCCGGCCCCACCTGACTGTGGGCCAGCTCACACAATAGTCAAAAATAAAAAACCCCGGCGGTGCCCCAGCCAGAGGCACGCAACTCCCCCCTGCAGCCCCGGGCAGGGGCAGCCAGCTGCTCTGGGGGGTGTTTGCTGCCAGAGAGATGAGGAGGGAACCCGGCGGCGGTGGCTGAGCTTGGCGCAGCTCAGCACATTGGAAAGGGCTGCTGCTGGGGGCCGGGGGCTCGGGGAATGCTGCGGCACCGCTGCGGCACCGCATCCTCAGCCAGCACCTCTGGGCTCCGCCGGTGGAGAGCATCTCTCGTCCGGTGTGGTTCTGTTCTCTGTGTCCCTAGCACTGAAGGCAATAAAATGGTTCTTTTATTTATTATTATTATTCTTTTGCTTGTTAATACTATTTTACTTAAGCACATTATCATCTCGCAGGCTGCAGCGTGGCTCTGCTCAGCCCAGCGTTGGCACTGCCCAAGACACATGCACCCAGCCTCCCCCGTCTCCTCCTCTTGGGGAGGGGGCAACCTCTACGAGCTGCTCCCCCAGAGTCTGGGGAAGAGGAGACCATGGTGGGGGGAGGTCTTACCGCAGCCCTTGGTGACCTGAGGGCAACTGCAGGCATGACAGAGCCAAGCTCTTCTCAGGGCTGGATGTGGCCATGCCACCCTGCCCTGGTGCCAAGCCCAAGCAGCCCAGAGCCCTCCTCCAGCCAGCATGCCTTACTGCCACTCGGTGTGTAAACTGGCACTCGCCGAACCAACCAAAACCCACCCAAAAAAAAACCCCCTGTGCATTTCAATGCACCCAGAGGGTGAACTAGACCCAAAGAAAGCCCCGAACAGCTGCAAAGGTACTTGATCTTTTATTATTGACAGCAGGTAAATACAAGATGCTGCCGGGCAGAAGGGCAGGGGCTGTTCCTCTGCGAGGGGCTCCCGCTGGCCAACAGCCAGGACCAGGGCGAGTGCAGCAGTGAGAGGGCACGGGGGCCGAGACCCCACGGGAGATGGAACGGCAGCGGGATGGGGACCCAGGTCTCCCCCAGCCCCGAGGGCTCCCCCAGCCCCGGCAGCCCAGCGCCCGGCCGAGCGGAGCCTTCACCCAGCAAATGCTAAAAAGGGGACTATTTGGGGTTACAAAATGAACAAACAAAAGCCATCTTACACATATTTACAGCATCCCCCTCCCGCCGCCAGCTCGCTCCAGATGGCAGTCGGGGCTCGGGGTGCCCCCGGCCCCCCAGAGCGGGTTGCAAAGGGCAGAGCCCCGGGTGGAGGGGACAGTCCTCGGCGTAAGTGCCAGCACCAGGGGCTGCTGGAACTGCACTCACAGCCCCGTTGTACAGCAGGATCTCCAAAGGGCCTGCTGGACGTCAGCTGGGAAGATGAACCCGAGAGATGGGACATTCCCGCAGGACACGCGTGTCCTCCACCAGGACAAGCAGACATCGGCATCCCGCTGGGACCTGGTGCCTGCAGCAGAAAGGCCAGCTTTGCACTGGCTCTGGGTCTCTTGCCCATCGTCTTTAGCTAAAAAAAAAAAAAACCAAACCTCATCAGGAGGACCATGTCTGGGCCACCTCCTCCTCCCCGGGCAGGAGAGCTGGGTCTGCCCTCCCAAAAGGGAGAGCTCCTCACCGTGGGAAGGAAAAGCAGAAGCAAGGTTACAACAAAAACAAAGGGGGTAGTTCTGGCCTGGGGATCGATCTACAATCCACCATAAAAAAAAAAAAAAACCAGCTTGAAACAAAAACCATCATTTACTCTTTGATTTGTACAAAATAACAATAATAACAATAAAAATAATAATAAAAAGGTGCTGGTGGCCCCTGGCTCGCAGTGCCCCACTGTGGCGGGGGGGGTCTCAGTAGGCAAAGATGACGTGGTAGGTGACTTGGTGCCCATTGTCCCAGGCGTAGAGCAGGCGGTCCTTGGGGTTATAGTCTATCTGCGTGGTGTAGGCATACTCGTTCTCAAAGAGCAGCCGGGGGATGATCTGCGTGTTGGTGTGCGTGTCAAAGGCGTAGGAGATGTTGGCGTTCCTCTTGTTGTAGCTGTCGACCGCGTACAGCACCCCGCAGATGACAAAGCAGTTCCCGTAGAAGTTCTTCCGCAGTCCCGTCCGCCACGTGGTCTCCTTCTGGGTGCTGAGGTCGGCCGCGTTCAGCTTGCTCAGCACGATCACCTCTTGGTTGAAGCCCTCGTAGCTGATGGCCGGGTAGATGACCCACAGGCCGTTCTCATCCACAGCGAAGTCCACGTCCGAGTGGCCTCGCCACCGCCACGGGGTGGACTCCTCATAAGCCACGTCATGCAGCATGGCCCAGGCGGCCACGTACCGCTGCTTCAGGTCGTATTTGATGATGTTGCGCGTGAAGGCCCGGTTGTAGTAGAAGGAGCCGTTGTAGACAACGTGCCCTGTCCCGATCCAGCTGTACGGGAGCTTGTAGGAGTTGCTCCAGCGACCTACGGGGCAGAGACGCTTTGCTGGCGAGACCCTCCCATCGCTTTGGGGTTGGTGGCCCTGCCGCAGCAGCCCCCAGCACCCTCTGCCCCCAGCCCTGCCTGCGCTCCTTCCCCAGCCACCAGCCGCAGCCTGGCACGGTGACAAGCAAGTCCAGAGCCACCACAGGCAACCTGACATGCCCCATGCTCTGAACCCCACACGCCAGGTACCGGCACCCGAGAGGGGAGGGTCCCCAGGCAGAGCATCCCCCCATGGTGCAGCACCCCAGGGAACAGGGATGCTACTTGGACCAGCCGAGCGGTGGCCGGCACAGTATCAGGGATGGTGCAAGCCCACCTTGCTTGAAGTTGTCAAGGTTCCTGAACTCCACCAGCGTGTTTCCATAGTAGTAGTTGGTGACATAGATCCGCTCCTCCCGGGCCAGGGGGTCCTTCATCCAGGCCCCCTCGTTGCGCCCATAGGTGTTCTGGGTGGTGGGCCCCGAGATGGTGGACAGCGTGTCCTTGCAGCGCCCTGCGTGGGCAGAGAAAAAGGCTCACAAGGCTTGAGGCAAGGTGGCCACGCTCTCCCTGCTCCTGCTGGGGGTCTATGGGCCCCACGCCCCCCGTCCTCCAGCCCCTTGCCCACCCAGCAGGTACCCCTGCCGCCTGAGCCTGGGCTCAGCCTCATGAGGCCCACCAGTGCTGGCCAGATTCTGCAAACAGCTCCCCACAGCCTCAGCCATGTCCGTGCCCCAGCTGAGGCTGCTGCCTGTCTCAGATCCATCTCCAGGGAGGCCTCTTTCTGCCCTGCCCAACCCCTCAAACTGGGAGGAGACTACAGTAGGTTCCAGAGTTAACAAGCAAGTAAACCTGGCACCCCAGTAAAGTGCTGTCCAGCCACCATCTCCATGACACCTCCCGCCTGTGACCAAATCCAGGTGTGCTGCACTTAGCAAGACACACTGTAGGCATGAGCCAGCCCCCACGTGCACAACTGGATCGGCGCAGGACCTGCAGGCACTCACCAATGATGTTCCTGATGTCCTCCTCCTCCAGGGCCTGCTTCGGGGTGGCGGGGATGGTGGGGCTGACTGGCGTTGCGGGGGTGCCCACCTGTCCCCAAGCTCCTGGGCTGGTCTCCAGGGCAGGGCTCGTCCCCACATCCCTCGAGGCCCCGGCAGTGGTGGCCACGGCAGGGCTGGGGACAGTGGTGGTGGCTGTGGGCAGGGTCTCCGTGGCCGCCACTGTGCTGGCCAAGGCTGCCGGTAGCTGCGGGGTCTCCTCCTCTGCCAGCCCCGCCGGGGCAGTCGTGGTCTCCGGGGTGGGGGTCAGCCGGCTCACAGCGGTGGGATCTGGCGTGGGTCCCGTGGACGTGGCAGGGGACAAGGGCACCGTGGCCGTGGCGGCAGTGTCGGCGGCCGGCGGGGTGGTGGGGTCGCTCCCGGGGGTGGGCGGCCATCCCACCGGGGAGGGCGGCCATCCCACCGGGGAGGGCTTCCTCACGCCGTCCCCCACCCTGCTGCTGGGTCTCAGGAGCTGGTCCTCAATCAGCAGGTCCACCGTGTTGTCCCCGCTGAACAGCTCGTCTGCTGCCAAACACAGGCACGGGCGTCAGCCCCGCAGCGAGCGGCAGCAGGTCCCCTGCGGCCCTTCCGCGCTTGCCCCACCGCTCTGGCTCCGCTGCCCACTTCTCCAGGCTGCCTTGTACTAAATCCACCTGGTTTTCCTCTTAATTTCCAGCTGGAGATGGGCTGGGTGAACCGCAGGGGCTGACGGTGCCCACGTTAAGAGGTCAGCGAGACCCCATCACAGCCACGTCTACGACCCCAGACCGGGCAGAGGGGGAGGTGATGGAGAGCGAGTCAGTCCTGCCGGCTCCCAAAGATGGGGCAGGATGGAGACACAGCTGCAGCGCCCAGCCAGATCCCACCCGCCTAACCCCAGGCTGCCAAAGTGGGTGCCTCACCCAGGGCACAGTGTCCACGTGGGCTCCCCGGCCACCACGGGTGCCCTTTGCTCCTCCTCATCTCGGGGATCTCACGAGCCCACGCACGGTTGCGCTGGCCAACCTGGCCGCTGAGCCGGCTTTGCAGAGAAAGGGCTCTTGCCTTGTTTGCCTGCGCTGCCGGTCCCTGGGGGCTCGGAGCCACGAGCAGCACCCTGCTGAGCTGTGGGGCAGCCAGCGACACCTCTGAGCTGCCTCCCACCACCCCGACCACCGCACAAACCTCCCGGGATGCCATCGGGCAGGCGGATCTGCAGGACTAAACTGTAGCAGTGACCTATTTCCTTAGCTACCGGGGATTTTTCCATGGAATAACACCGCCGCCCTGCTCCCCTGCGCAGGGCTCAAAGGCTGGATGCCGCCTCGCTGCTTCCAGCGGCGCGGTACCAACCGTCCCACCGCCTCCTGCCTCCAAACCCTCTTCTCCACGGTGACCCCACAAGCTTTGCCCACAGGTTCCCAGGGGGCAAGGCAGGACTCGGGGGCAGGCGCTGGCTTTGCTAAGGGATGCAGCCAGCCATCCCGCCGGACACGGCTGCAAACCCAACTCACGCTGCTCCTCGATGTCGTTCTCCGACTCGGTGGACTGGGCTTTGTAGTAGGTGACCCCTCGGACGATGGTGGGCTTGGAAGGCGGCCGGCTCCTCACGTGCAGCTTCCTTTGCAAGAGCTGCTTGGGCTTCTCGTCCTCTGGAGAGAGGTGCAGCTCCGGGAGGGACTCAACGGAGTTGATCTGCTGGGAGATGGTTTCATCTTTCAGGAATCTTTCCTCGTATTTGCCCTGGAAGAGACGCAAGAGGTTGTTAGGGGATGAGTCAGGGCAGCTGCATTTTGGGGGACCTGGCAGGTCAGGCTGGCCAGCCAAGGTTGGGTAGGAGACTCTGTCCTCCCTCCTTTCTCAGGGCCACTCTCCGTCCCTTCTGCTGTGGGAAACACTCCAGGACACAGCGGGGGTGACAGAGCGGCGTTGCCTCTGCCTGACCTTGGTGCCACTCTGCAGACCCAGGACTCAGGGCTCAATAAGGCACAGGCTGAGGGATGCAGGACGAGTGGGCAGAGTGGGGGGACCCCAGGGTGGCGTGAGCAGGGCACATCCCTCACCGCAAACCACTCTCACGTCCACTCACCAGACAACCCCTTGCACACCAGGGACCGCTGCCGGCAGCTGATCCGTAAAGAGCACGCAACGTGCATCAAGCTTTGGTAGAGCAGAGTGGCTGAAGGCATATTCCCAGCAGGACCGGGAACCCCCCCAGGGCAGGGGCAGGGACCGGGAACCCCGTGCTGAGGCAGCCACCAGCTGCCGCAGCTCATGCCTGAAGGATTTCATCTCATTAAAGGAAATCGGAAAGACAGCCCGAAGGTTGAAGCCGTGCCCATTTGGCTGAGAAGACAGGCCCAGGGTTCCTTCGCAGCCCTGCCGCAATTAACAGCGAGAAAAGGGGAACAGTGGGAAATGAGGTCACTCAGGGTAATAAAAGCCCTGCACTTCGCTCTCCTGCCTGGCTGGGGCTGGCTCCTCTCCAGCGGGCAGCGGAGCCCCTGCTCAGGTTACGGCCCGGGGAGCAGTGGAGAGGGGCTGGGAACGCTGCCGGAGACCCTCTGTCCTGCGGCACAGCTCTCCCTGGAGCACAGCGCGCTGGCGCGTCACGGTCGGTGCCATTTGCCCACCCGCCGACCCACAGTGCAGGTGTGGGAGCCCACCCTTCTCCCCACCAGGGCTCCCACCCCTGCGTAGGACCCGCCAACGCCTGCTCTCCGTGTCAGGGGGGCCATGCGCAGGCTGTCCTCACCCCCCGGAGCTGAGCACCTCTGTTCGGAGCTGGAAATGATGCGGCAACTGCTCCCCCCCCTCCCCGACACCTCCTTTTGCCCTGTAGAGGGGACCCTGCGGTGAAGGCAGGATGCTCCAAGGAGCCAGCCCGCATGGATCAGAGCAGCACGAGACCACCCGAGATTGCATCACTGAAGCAGCAAGGGGGTCAGGACACCCTGGGCAGGCCTTTTCCCAAAGCACCTCTCTCTGGGGCTCCACAGAAACCTCTGCCCTAGGCAGAGGACATCCCCACGCCGGGCAGACCCTGCAGGGACCCCCGCAGTACCGGAGCCAGCGGGATGCCCAAGCCTCTGCCCGCAGCCCACCCGGAGCAGGGGCTGGCTGGGGAGGGGTAATTGCCCAGGAGGGAGGGCGACAGCCTGTCCCTCCGCCGAGCCCCCAAGCCCTGCTAATCAAAGGCTCCGAGTTTCCCAGCGCTTCCCAGCCGGCCCCGCAATGACATCACTCTTTCCGAGCAGCACGGCCGCCGCTGACCTCGAAAACCAACAACCCCACGGGAAGGGGGGGAGGCCCAGGGAGCAGCCGCCTGCTCCTGTTCCCTCCTACATCCCGGCGGCAGCTGGTCTGCGCCGAGAGAAGCAGCCTGGAGCTGGAGGCACGGAAACGGGGTCGGCCAAGCCAAGAAGAAAATAACCCCGGGCCGGTGGCCTGCCGGGGGCCACATCCAGGAGACACCCTCTGGGCTGGTTTGCACGGCGGCAGCGAGCTCGAGCCTTGCAACCCGCTTGGGCGGTCATACCTCTGCGTGTGTGTAGGCAGCCTCGGCGTCCCGCTGCAGCGAGCTCTCAATGTCGGCAAGGCTGTTGGTGATGAGGCTGGAGCAGTTCTCCCTGTCCCTGCGGTGCAAGCCTTCCTCCACGTTGGCTCCTGTCTCGTGGCCTTCCTGCATGAAGTTCCCAGACATGCCCTAGAAAAGCAAAAGAGGAGACTTTACCCCACGCGAAGACAAGGGATGCTCCGTGGCCCCCACGCCACAGCCCAGGAGCCAGCGAGCTCTGTGCTCCCATCCTGGGCTCACAGCTGGGCTTCTCCATGGAGCTGGCACTTCAGCTGCTACGAAGGTGCCCCTGAGCCCAGTGGGATCCAGAAACCCCATCCCTGGTGTGTACATCCCAGATCCACTCTTTGCACAGGGCCCCATGGAGGGGGAGAGTGGCCCTGAGGTTCTTCAACACCCATCTTCAGCCATGCCTACCGGTTCGTAGAAGGAAAAGACAAGCTAAAACACCTAAAGTCCCAGCCTTGCATCCTTTGCTTATGGCAGCGAGTTCATCTCTCATTTATTAATCCCCCTTTCCTAGCAGGGTCCCATCCTGGCTGGCCGCTGCCTGCCTGACCCCCGAGGCAAGTCCTCGAGGCCGGCGTCCCACTTGTCTGGTTTCTGTTCTCCTGGTCCTGCCCCACTGCCCGGCCACGCAGCGCCGGCGCTCGAGGGTGACTCCTCCCCACCACTCTCTGCTCCCACAGAAGAGAGGGAGAATTTGGGGAGAGGAAGAGAGCCAGTGACCCTCAGAGAGCTGTTCTGGGAGCGGGAGGGAGCTGGGGCTGGCTGCGACTCACTGGGCAGCCCAGGGCAGGCAAACTCCTTTGCCCTTCTCAGCCCCCACAACCATTGGCACACCTTGTATCCAAGGGGTTGTTGCAGTCTCTGCTTATCGCTCCTTGGTCTTTCTCATCTTCAATGGCAACTGCTTTGAATAGGTGCCACATCAACCAAAGCGTTTTTGCAGAGAGACTGGGGGCGGTTCCCCCTGATCCTTCATTTTCAATCTGTCCTGCCATTAATTTCTCCTAAAACCCACCGTGACCTCCATCTGCGACCTGAAAATCGCCAGCTGATGCAACAGCTGCAAGCTAAAGACAAAGCAGAGAAGCTGCCTCGCTGAGAGGAGGACCAAGTATTCGGGGGTTCCTTCCCCTTACCGGCACCGTTTGTGTCAAATACCTTGTTATACTGGAAATAACTCACAATACCTTCTCATCTCTGCAAAAATATCATCCTGAGCTCGGTTAACCCCCAACCCACTCCATGGGCAACTGAATTCCCAGTCTTTTCCCAGGAATTGTGAATTACAGATTTCTCATGCAATTTTGAGGCTCAGTAACGCAGGGACTTCCCAGCAAGCATTTTGCTGTAGTAAGAAAAGGAACAGAAGATCTCGTGACGCTCTCCTAGAAGCAGCGCAGGAGCAGAAGCAGCTTCGACACAATCCTCCTTTTGGGAGGATGACTGATTCCGACAGCCTTGTGCCCTTATCACTTCTTATTGTGTGTAATGTTTGGCTTTATGACATGCTTAGGGATAAAAACTGCCTCCCCTTGAGTGGGGAGGCACCACCAAAGCCTGGCCTGTGATGCTGCTTGAGGCCGCTCAGCTGCTTCACCGGGGAGCAGCTGCCAAAAGCGCACCGGCCTGGGAGGCCGATGCTTTGAAGCCACGCCAGGCTCTTGTTCAGCATCTCAGCTGTCTGTTGTATCAGATCCTGCGGCCGATGCAGGGTGTGATCCTCCTCTCAACAGGCATTTGCGTGCTAAGCCAGCAGCAGGAAAAGTTTCACACCTGCTGCCTGCGCTGCCTGCACCAGCTCTGCCCTGCCCTTCCCCAGCGGCACTGGGGAATCTCCATCTAACCCAGACCCCTCCTGTCCTTCATCCCATCCGAGTGCCTGCGGGCAGCTTCAGCTGCTTGTTACATGATCCTACAGCCCCACTTCTGGGAAATTAAAGACCCAAATCTGTGAATTCCCCCCTCCTACACCTTCACCGCTCCATCTCTGGCCAAACCACTTCAGCCAGACCAGACTACTTCTGCCCATCTGCCTCACTGCGACGGGCTGCGAGCAGAGCAGCCACGCTGCAAGGTCACCCCAATGTGCCCAGACAGACAAATGCCACCATCACCGCTCACACTGAACCCCCTGTGCAGGAGCAGGCTGGTAGACAGGGCCACTTCGGTACCGAAGAAGAGTGCAGCGATAGCCACACACGAAGTAATCACCTGTGTCATTTGTCAATACCCAAACTCCTAACGCTCACCTTACCTTAGCCTCCGACTCCACCACCAGCGAGGTCTTTGAGGAACCTGCGCTCCCCACTCACTGACCTGATGGGCTGTGTCACTCTGGCCTGATCCGTTTAAAGGTGACAATGTCTAACAGCACCATTTTCAGTCAACTAGTTTCAGGGTGAGACAAATTCATGGACCACAGATCCATAAACGATACCAGAAAAGGGTTGTCCCCTCCATCATCCCTAATCCAGCAACTGTGGATGTTAAATAGCAGTAGATCATCGGCTGGTCCCGATGGGGCCCTTTGTATTCACGGCAGCATCCCCTGCTCACCGTGCCGTGGGACAGGGCTCACCACTAGACCCGTGGCTACCAGTGGCCCAGTGGCAAAGGTCCCCAACGGGGATGCACAGCACAGGGCTGGCAGCACGGCTCCCGCTTCCCTCGCTCCTCTCCCCTAATTAGCAAAGACTCAGCAGCAAACCCAAGTAACAACTTGGAGAATACACTAAACCACAGGAGGAGGGTGGGATTACAAACAAAAATACTGGTTCTTTGTTATTTTTAGACCTCAAAACCCCTTATCCCCCTTTTGGGTCAAACACCGTGCTTGGAAAGCCAGAGCCCCCCAGGCAAGTGTGTTCCTCTCGGCTGTCTCCTTCCTGACCCCGGGACAGAGCATGCCGTGCCTTCCCGAAACACTTTGCAAGTGGAATTTTGGCTTTATAAATCATCGCCTCTCGGCTCCTGGCTGCAGACAAATGGTACTGCTCCACTCTGACAAGAATGTGGAATTACTGTCCCAGATATGGACCACGGGAGAAAACTCCAGTATTTAATCTGGCAACCTGTCGCTACATAGCTGAGCGCAGCTTAACAAACTGCAAACCCTACGTTGTGCTAGCCAAAGCGATATTAAACTGTATGGAAGTGAAAATGATTTCACTGGAAGTCTGCTCTCAAAAAAATGGAAGGTACTTTATCTACCTTTTTAGCAGTGCTGAGGGTTCAGCTCTTTTTTAATGCAGGCCAAGATGTAACTCGGTCCTTAAGGAATCTGACCTCCTCGGCTACCAGCAGTCGTGGTGCGTGTACCCCAGCACCAGCCCTGAACCTCTCGCCCCCACATCAAACAGCACAAAAGCATCCAGTTGAGAGCAACTCTCACACCAGCACAGACGTAGAACTGGGAAGAGGAAAAACTTAACAGCAGGCCCTTCTGACCCCAAGGAGATGCTGGTCCTGGTGAGGCCACAGCTGGGATCCCACAGCCAGTTTGGGCCACAAGGGATGGGGGGAACTGGAGAGGGTCAGGGGAGGCTGGCGGGGTGGTGATGCGGTGGGCTCTGCCCATGAGGAACGGTGAAGAGTCTAGTCTGGTCTAGTTTAGTTTCAGCCAAATAATAGTTAATTAACATTTCTTCCGAAAGGAACAAGGCTCTGAATGCACCAAAGGCACCAAGAACTTGACTCGAGGCAAGTCCCACCGAAGGCAACGACCTCGAAGGAGAGCAGGACTCATCTTACCTCCTCCAGCTTTTCCACCCGACCCACCAGCTTGGTTGTGACCGAGTGCAGCTTCAGAAGGTCTAAGCCATAAAAGGCATTTTCCAGCATCTCGACGATGGAGGACAGCTGCAAGGCAAAGGGAGCACACCGTCAGTCGGAGGCACTTACTGTAAAGGACCCTGCGTGGTTTCTACAGCCAAAACATCAAGGGCAATGCACGCTTCTGAGTGCAAGAAGTTTATTAAAAAGCAAGTTTTTCCTTACACAGCCCTGCCACATTGCTGCTGCAGTCAGGAGCACAGCGTGCAGAGCTTCAGGGGTTCAGGAGCCTGTTTTGGGTTCTGGGGATTAGTAAGCAGAGCAAGGAGAAGCACTGCCTTCCTTGTCAGCTCTAGGCTCACAAGCCCAGAGGCTTAGCTACTCCACCAGTGACGTGACTGGCAGCAAAAGAGGCAACAAGAGAACGGCAGCTCAAATAAAAGTGAGTTTGAGATCAGACTCTGAGTTCAGGCCATCCTGTGCTTTTTTTTTCCTGGAACAAGAAGAAACTTGTTAAAAAATTGTAAAATGTTCACAAATGCAAGAGTGAAGCAACTGAAATTCAGTGCCAGCCTGGTAAGAGTTTGCTTCCTTGGAGAACAACTTTATCGGAGGGATGCTGCCTTCTCCTTCAACCACCCGTTTCAGAGACGTCCTGTATTTAACTCACCCCCTTCCCGCAGCGGGAAGGATCGTGTCCCCGCATCCTGCCCAGCACCAGCCCTTGCTCACCGATCCTGGGGATCCAGACAGCAATACCCTCATTCTGCATTTCGTATGGTTCCTGGTGCTCACTCCGCAGAGGACAGCGCTGAGCAAGGCATGGACTGGTGAGAAGGGCTCCCGGGTCATTCCCTGCCTCGGCCCCCCCACGCGCCTGCTCCCTCCAGTCCCACGTGTCCCCACGTGTCCAGCGTGGTGCTGCAGACCTTACAGCCCCGACGGCTGAGAAGTATTTTCAATGCATGGGAATTACTACGAGGCGGTGACATTTTCTCCCAGCAGCTACAAACTGGTCGACAGAGCTCCATAAACACAGGAGAAGTACAGGCAGCACCGCTGGCAGCACTCTGAGTTTCCACCCCGGCCTCTGCAGTCTCCCTGTGGAGCTGACAGCAAAGGAAAGATTTTTTGGGCCAGATAAAATGGCAGCATTAAGAGACAAGGACTGTTTTATGGCTATGCATCCACTTTCCACCAAGAACTGGACGGAGACGACCGATACAATGCACACAACCTGCCAGACAGCCACTGGAGACATGCGCTTTCCCTCCAGGCTGGATAATTTCCATCAATGCACAAAGGTTGCAGACTTTATTAACCACCTTCCAAATCTTCTTGAACACAGACTCCTTGCACAGACTCCTTGCACAGACTCTGCACCCGAGACGCCCAAAACGTACGCTGTGCCTACAAGCAGAAGAGCGGCATGCTGTGATTTCACAAAAATAGATCTTAGATTTAGCTACCCCCTGCCAGCACCAAGCTGACCCTCCCTGAAAGACCATACAGATGCACACGCCAACTCGCTGTTTCCTTTCCTTCACCCACTGCCGACTTTGGCTCTCGCTGATCTGATGGTCCATGAATTCCCACGGGACCTTATTAAAGGCACAGATGGGACTGAAACCTTCAGCTGGGATGCCCAGTGCCGCCATTCAACTGAGAGGGGGTGACCCGGGGGAGTACGTTCCTGCTGCCTGGGCTTATCTACTCCCTTGCTCGCCATTCCCTTGGGGACGCATCCTCCAGCCCGCCTGTCGTAAGGGAGGTCTTTCATTTTGGGGAACTTCCCACGGCTCTCACACATGTGGAGTACCTAGGGCTTTTGAGTCAGAGCATAAGAAAGCCTAGTAAAACACAAGAGACATAGAGCACGACTCTACACGCTTCCCGCTGCTGGACCGGGCAAGAACGATGCTCCTCAGACCAACAAGGAGAGTAAAACCCCTGGGGCTGTTAGGAGCAATGAAGTGGCCTGGCCCGGCCCTCCCGGCCCCCCCACAGCTGATGAGCGTGGGAGCTGCTCCTCATGAGTCACAGAAGAACTGGAGCCGTGTCCTCTCCTGCCTCCCAGCTTCTCCTACGAGAGGTGGCTGTCCCCAGCTAGCCCGACCCCAGGAGGGGCTCTGTGCTCGGCGAGAAAGCAAGCCTGTTTTCACAGCTCCTGGGGTTTGACTTTCACAGCAAAGAAAAAACCCCACGTGTGTATATTTGGATAAACCTTGTGAAATCATTTGGCCGCGGATCCTTGCGAAATGAGCGGGGGAGCCTGGGCCAGTTCCTAGAGGACAAGCTTTCACACCACAGCTGGCTGTGAGCAGCTCCCCGGTGGGAAGAGGCAGCCAGAGCCAAGGGTGCAGCTAGCCATGCCGCTCTGCTCCTCCTGGAGGCTGACCGGCTCTGGAGAGGACAGGGAGAGAGGTGGGAGCTGCTGGTGGAGGAGTTCTGCCTGCCTCCAGGCAAGGGACTACAGGGGTGGCCCTGTCACCTCGGAGGGTGTCCTCTCCCCTAACCGCAGAGAGCTCACAGCTCCTCATCTAAGGCCAAGTTGGACATCTTGGCTCGTCCTGCAGACGAAGGACCACCAAACTACTCCGGACCGGGACTCCTCCTTCCCTGCAATGATGGATTGTCTGCCTGTGCCTGTTTATCTTCCCTAGCTGCAAGGGAGCTTGGACAAGAAGCTGCTAACTGTCTGCAGTCGGACAAGATGAAACACATCCTTGAGCTCCAAATTAATTAGAACAAACCCATCGCGGTGGCCCCGGCGGCCGGCTGCCCCGCAGCAGCCTGCACACTGCCTGCCTTCCCACCTGAGCTGGGACTAGCAGTGCTGCCCCAGGGTACATCCCATCACCACCTACACGAGTGCCACGAGTACTCAACCTTCTACTCTGGGGACTTCCCAGGGCTGGACCAAGCCAGTGGCCCTTTGGGGAGGATTTCTGCTGCCCGACGCAGGTAACAAACTGGGAAACTCAGCAGGGTGTGCTGCCAGCTGCTGGAGTAAGCATCCAGTAAAAGTCAGGAGTACTCAGAACAAACGCTGTCACATTTGGAAAACAGGTATGTACTACTAAGGAGATAAAAATACTAAATAGTACAGAAGCGTCAGCATTTAAAACAACAAAACCCATCCTGCCATCAGCCAGCTGTGTAACACACCCTCACACTGACGCATCAGCAGCTTTCGGCTCATGGAAGCCAAAACAGCTTTTTGTGTGGGGCCTCGGGAGCCCTTCTCAGTGATGGGAAAAGACTTGGCAGCTGCTAAGTGGAGCAAGAGCTGCCTCCCGGGGACACTTAGAGCTGGACAAAGGGCAGGGAGCAGCCCAGTCCCTCCTGGCCTTCCAGTGCAGGCAGCCACGGTGGACCCCAGGCAGCACGGGATGAATCGAGTGAATCATCGACTGCAGCTACTCGAATCAATCCCTTAAGCTGAGCTTGATTTTTTGTATCGCACATGCAGATATAAAAGTAACTAGGAGACGTTTTTAGCAAAAAAGTTTAGGCAAAAAGTTTTTTGGGAGAAGCTCCGAAACAAAAGGCTTCAGAAGATCTGCCCTTCCCGAGAGAGTCCCGAATTAAAGCTGCTGTCCTACCTTCAGGTCGCTGCTCTCCGCCTCCCGCAGCTTCTTCAGCCTGAAGTCCCCCTCGCAAGGATTGAGCGCCGAGGGGGGGGCCACGCACGCACACTTGCAGCTGGGTCCCGACGTGATGGTTTCCACCGTGTAAAAATCCTCTGCTTTGAAAGCGCCTTCATTAATCCTTTGGCAGGCACCGCGGCCAAGGGGTCTGACCAGGCATTTGCACCGACAGTCGGAGCCTTCGGACACCGCCTTCACCTTGTCGTAGTCACCTAACAGCTGAGCACAGGTCACCGGCAGTTAGCAAACTTCTCGTCCTCTGCTTGCCCGGCAAGCGACAGGGACACCCTGAACTTTGGACAGTTCCAAACAAGGACACTTTGGACACCCTGAACCTCGAGGAAACCGGCCGGCTCTTCTGAAATCTGCTGACCAAGAAGCTTTCTAGAGAGCGCAGAGCTTTCTGATCCCTACCTACAAGGGGAATAAAAGCTGGCTTCTTCCAGCAGGGTATTTTTTATTCCACTTTGCATAAAATGGACCTAGCGGCTTTGAATTTTAAATATGAGTATTTTAAATACGAACCCCATCCTGCTGTCTTTTAATGCTCCGTGTCCGGTAGACCCAATAAGTCACCTGCTACCCTGAGCAAGCTATTTTTATGTGGGCAAACAGGGTAAGGGTGCACTGGAAGGGTGACCGAAAGCCACCCTATAAGCAGCATAACCCGGTGGTGAAGCAGTATTTCTGATTAGCCCCATACAACGCCAGGAATTTCCTTTACGGAGATTTGCAGACAGCACTTCTGAAAGCGCAAGCACGAAAATAACTTTGACGGTATGTTTCCAATAGTCTCCGCGTTAGCCATTTCCGAGGGCAGATAATAGCACACGGTCTGATCGGCCAAATCTAACAGAAACCTCCACCGCATCCCGCTGGCGGGGAAAGAGCCTGGATCCCTCCCCTCTGCACACAAAGAGGCTCCACCAAGGAGCTCCCCGATTTCCCAGTGTCCCCCCCAGAGAAACGAGAGGATGGAGGCTGGGAACTGCTCCCCGTGGGGCTTCGGGGACTTAGCTCACCGCACCCCGGGCGATAAAACTCCCTGCAGCCGCACTCCCCCGGCACCTCGACGAGCGCTGGGCGCGCACAGCATCCCCCAGCACCGCCGAGCGCCTACGTCCAGCATCCCCCAGGCTGCGCCCAGCATCCTGCACCCCAGCGTCTCCCCGGCACTGCCCAGCCCCACGCCGCGGGTACTCAGCACCCACCCCAAGGTGCCCCCCAGCAGGTACCTGGGAGAGGATGTTCTCCTGGTTATCCGCTTCGTCCTGCAGCGGCTCGGCGGAGGGCCCGGCCGTGCCGGTGGGGTTGGGGGGGGACCCTGCCCGGCAACCGGCGCCCAGCGCGGCCAGGCAGAGCA